CTTTCCTTTCCTTTCCTTTCCTTTCCTTTCCTCTCCTCTCCTCTCCTCTCCTCTCCTCTCCACTCCTCTCCTCTCCTCTCCTTTACTTTCTTTTGAAAAGAACCTTCATTGCTGTTGGCCTAGGCACTTGGCATGACTTGGTTACACAGCAGCCAAGGCAATCCCACTCCCTTCTTTGCCTGTTGAATAGAGGAAGGCCCTTAGCCAAACCAAAGAAAGGGCAGCCCCTATTTTAGCTTAGATCAGTGTTGTCCATGGCTGGCTGGGGAATTCTGGGAGCTGAAGTCCACTCATCTTAAAGTGGCCAAGTTTGGACAACACTGGCTTAGATACTAGGGGCAGCCAAAAATTATGGATCATAATCCAAAAGTGAAAACTATTGTAGCTTTATAATTTATAACAAATTTGGAATAGCTGAATATTTTCTTCTTAGAATCAGAAAAAAAAACTGATTAGTCACAGATGAGAAGCAATAAAGAATAATGCATCACTGATAGCAAAAATATACCCAATATTCTATTAGATAATAAGAATTCCAAAAATACTATCTAGCCAGCAGTTGGAGCTAGTCTCACTCATCAATGGAGTGTGTTTTTCTTGTCTGGTTTTTACTTTCTCTTAGTATTTAGGATATTTTCTGTGCTATGTTTATTGTTTTCCTTTTATTATTTTATTTGGCGCTCAACTCCACTTTCTTTTCCTGGAGCAGTTGCAATTATAACATCTGAAAAATACAGTCATTGTTAATGATCACCCCACAATTCCACTCCTAGTGCTTAAGATGAAACCTTCCTAGCTCTTTTTTAAATTTTCCATGCAGATATTCTATGGTAAAAAGTATATAGTATTCCAAGCAAGGCAACTGTAAACACAGTTGTAATAATGTATCTAACTCCAGTTTTATTTACAATAAGTGTAAAGAGTAGATGAATTTGCAAGATTTATTAAAATCTAGGCAATTAGCTCCTTTAATGCTGTTTACCAAAGGATAAGCAACCAGAAATCTTATGACACTAATGTTAGACTGTACTACAGCCAAAAAATTTTTTTTGCTATTCAACTCCCCTAAGACTGGTTTAATTGTAAGAAATCAGCAGGGCTGGTTGATCCTATGGTGTCAGTGCATTCAGAAGTTTCCTTCAAGATGTTGGGAGAAACCTAAGCAGGAGGCCAGAAGAATGTAGGTAAAGTAGTGGAAAGTAGTTTCTGTCAAGGGGAAGGAGCCTGAGTGATATTCCGAAATAGCTGGAGTTCAAGGTCTTGCCTAATTAAGGAGTTGATGTCCTTTCCTTTCAAGGAGATTTGCCAATCTCCACTCCTCAGTCCTCCTTAGCTGAAGGTGGGTTTAAGAACTTGGTACTGTCTAAGTTCAGGATCCCATTCCTTCTTCTGTGAACTGGCAGTCCAACTCATTACTCTCAAGTGGCTGACAGCTTGTGGGCTCCCTAACTACAGGCTGAGAGAGTCTGCCAGGTTCTCCTTTTCAGCCTCAGAATCCATAACAAGTGAAAATAATAAATCTCCAGAATTAATTAAATCAATTATGATTATGATTATTTATCCCAAACCAATCCACTGCTGAATGAAGTCCTATTCATTGAAGGTTATAGACTGTAAACTATCACTCAGGTCTAGTATGGGCTGGTAGGTAAATTTTCTTTGGCTTCCCAGTCTATGGCTGAGAGAGTGACCAGCCCAAAGTCATTCAGCCAGGTTCTGTGCCCAAGGGAGGATTAGAACCTGAGTCCCTTCCACTCCTAGCCCTGCACTACACCACACTGGCTCTCAGTTACAAAATATATAAGCATACAACATCCAGAATAATACAGTAATAGTAATAATACAACACACACACACAAATTAAAAACAATAATGTAGAACAATATAAACATATATATTCCTTCAATAAATTCAATTTAAAAAGCCCTTCAGAACAGCACTGTTTTAACATACTTCCAGAAGAACAATAATGTGAGGTCTGATTTAGCTTCCATAATATAGGGGCCATTAAAAGGAACATCTCCTCTTGGCCTCATCCCTACTAACTTCATGGTAGTCAGGATTTACAAGTATTTTTTCTTTATCAAGTGAGTCAATTCCAGTTGAAATAGTCCTGAAAACCAGCACTTTAAATTGCAGTGGGAAACCTGTTGACAACCAATGCAGGAGTTGTAGCACAGGGGCAATGTGGTCAGGGTATCTACCACCAGTTAACACATGGGCCAGTGCAATTTCCAGGTGGTCTTCAGAGGTTGCATATGTACAGCACATTGCAGTAGTTTAACTGGGTAGTCATGGGGGCATGAATTCCTGTTACAAGGTCCTCTTATTCCAGGTATGGCTTCAACTATCTTTAGTGCTCAAGATTTAGGAGATGTAATTAAATGTACAAGAATTGCTGAATATCTGAAATCAGTGTCTATTTCAACAATAATGCTGCAAGAAATATATAACATTAAAGATAAGTCACAAGTACATGCATGTTTGGGTCAACAGTCTAAGAATAGTAAATCTAGGGATGTAGTTTTATTTAATGTTAATGTGAAATTTAAACCCATAAAATTGTATATGATTCCAATTATTATATTTTCATATTTTGTTTGTTATGTCACCAAGAATTTACATTTTCATCAGTTTATGCCCCCTAATAAGGAACAGATGTGATAAAATATTGAGTAAGTTATTAAATTTTGCATTAGGGAGAATAGGCAGTGATTTAACATAGGTTCAGATGATCTAATTTAGGCTACAGGTTTTTTTAGTCATTGGGATTTAGTGATGTTTGGGAAACCTTAAATCCAGCTGGAAAGAACTTATTATTCTGGAAGATGTCAGATATATTCTCAAATGGTAATATTTTGATTTTTAGAAATCTTCCCCAACAAGATTGTAATCTTTTAACAGTAATTGTAGAAAAGATTTGCACTCCTTGAAATAAATAAATCTATTCAAACTATGTTTAAGATTTATATATGGATCTTTTAATACCAAATATATCTCTTCTGATTCCTATGTTGGTTCAGCCTCTTTGTTTTTTTAACAGAGACAGAATGAAGCAATATGTTCGCTGGAAAGAGAAAAGGTTATATTATATTAAAATTGGGAGGTTTTTATCCAAGGCAGTAGGCCATTTACAGAATTTGGTCATGTGCATAATATAGGTTTTAATAACACAAGAAGTTGTTCTTCCAAATATTTATACTTTATTAAAAGCATTAGTATTAATAGAATTTAGATAAATAAAACTTTTGGAGAAGATATGGGAATTAGGTTTTGAGAGAGAATATCACAAAATAAATGGAAATGAGTATGGAAAAACTCATAAATTGATTATGTACCATAGCTATTATATATTGTTATAGGATTTTACTGCGTAATCTTGTAAGCAGTATGTAGGATTATTAATTGTGATATAAACTTAGACTACTTGTTCTGTATGCAGAGTTCTTCAGTATCTCCAAAAGATTGCAGGACTGAGAAAGGAACAATCTCTGATGTATGATTTGAAGAGCTACTGTCATGTAGATCAGAGGTTTTCAAATTTTTTCAGGCCATGGAACCTGTTAGCTTTTTTAAAAAAAATCCTGAAACCCCTGCTGCTTGCCTCACAAACACACACAGAGTTGTCATGAGCACAAATGCCCTGGAAGGAGGGGAGGGGGGGTTCTGTTGTAACTTAGAAAAATTACTATGGATGCTCCTGTTTGAATTATTCCAACCCCCCCCCCCAACCCGGCTTTCATGGCACCTCCTCAAGTTCTTCAAATACAGTTTGAACACATCAGATGCAGATGATACTGGGCTAGATGGACACCAATCTATCATTCAGTGCCTGCACATAAGGCAGTTTAATCTCTGTTACTGTCAAGCCCTTACCAGCCACTAACCCACCTCCCGCTTTTTGCTGCCACCTAGTATCATCTGGAGACTGGGTGCCCTAGATATACATAATAGATGTTACACTCTCAGTGAGCTATGTATCTATGTTTGCTCAGACTTGATAGATATAAAAAGACATTTGAATTTCCTCAAAAATGATGTTAATTTTCTTTAGGGAAAATGCATGAATGGTATTTTTATATAATTTGAATTACCTTAACAGAATGCCAACTTTCAGTTCCAACAACAATCAATTCTTTCATTGCCAACCTCAAGACCTGACTTCCAAGAGAAAAAAGAGCAAGGAACTCAGACTATTGGATTGTTCTACCCATCTCACAAACATTTAGAGAAGAAAGAAAGTGAGGTGTTCTTGCAAAAGGAGAAGCAGATTAAGGCAAATGATCACAAGTCTCTGCTCACAGCTATCAGCCCTGGAAAAGGTATGAAAAAAGGCTGATTTGAAGTTGTGTTTTAAAATGAAGCTCTTATCAGTTGACTTTAGGTTTCTCATTTTTCTGCATTATGTCCATTTTATTCCTATTCCTGGACTTTTGAATTACCATATTTTCTTTTACAGATTTCTCTTCAACCTTTTCCTCACTTGCCATTGACTTCCTTTCTTTATTGTAATTTTGGTTATAAATGTAGCAGTTTCTTTTCTTCTTCTATCTGTCTTCTAAAATCAGCCATTCATTCACTTTTCATCCTTCTCCAATTCTATCTTGAAGGAGAAGACTGATCAGAATGAATATGAACTGCAGGGTACTCCATATGATAATGAAAAGTGGTCAGCATAGGACAGCTTTCCTGAAAGTATAGAAATTGTGTCTGTGTACATGCATATATGCACTGAAACTAATTTCAAAGCTATCTTTCCCTTTTGGCTTAAATAAGGCAGAAGCCTTAGATAAAGATAAAACTAGCATAGATACTACGTGGTGACTCTTGGCCATAAGAATAAGTAATTCTTGCCCATTAGCAGCATCAGCAGTTTTATAATTGTTAAAAAAAAAAGGATGGATGTATTAAAAAAAGAAAATACAGTAGAGCCAAAAGAAGTCATGTGTATCCATATTACAACATGAGACCTGTATCTTTGGTTGTGTCTGGACCTAGATGCAGTTAAGAGATGCTTTTCCTTTTCTGTCTCATTAAAAATTCATCACTGTTTGGAGGAACTCTGAGATTATGCTCAAATCTTTGGAGAGTTGCATGGGCCACTGGGATAACAGTTATGCATTTCTGTCTTTGAAAGTGAAGATAGTTTACTGCTTTGATTTACAGTGATTCAGCAGAACTGGATTTTCTCACAATCAAATGGAGTTAAGAAAGCATTCTAGTATGGTCTTTATGTAAATGAAACGAAGCAAAAAATATGCGTGAATGTGGCTAACACCTTACTTTTAGTCCATGTTGGATAAGAAGGTGGGGATCATTAGGAATTGAGTGTCGATTTCAGGCCCTTGCCTAGCTATTGATTTTTCACAGAGTAAACCAAGAAACACAAAATTACTACAGCTAAGAAATCAGTACTGAGTTATTAAAGAAGAACTTAATATTAATTAGGACTTTTATTCACATGTCCAGATTACAAATAGTTAGCTGAGCCTTATACATACAAACTTCCTAAGATCTCATATTTCAGAGTTCACAGCAAAGTTGAATAGAATCCACAGCCAACTGAGCAAGCTGTGGAAGACAATTGTGCCTCTATGGATTGAAAAACCAAAGATTCACCCTGAAAAATATGGGAATTGGTTAATCCCTGCTAAGTGTAACGATCTGCCACCTGCTGCTCCCAAGTCCAGTAACTTTCCTTGCAACCAATACTGATTCAAAAGAAAG